AGGATATCCCTTCTGTGGGAACCAGAACATGAAGAAAATTCTATTTTATTTTTGGTGAATTGATCGAAACAACGATGAAGGGAAATGATGAACGATTTTGACTAGAAATTATAACGAGAATGTCGGTTTGTCAATTAATGTCAAGTATTGATTTTATTCTGTCTGTCTGTCTAAATCTGTAAAATTTTCAGCGATTTTCAGAATCGTTGCATTGGAGTGTTACTGATGGATAGGGATTTCAAATGTTGTGTTGAAAGTAGGAGAATTTCATTTCAAATTTCAAAGTTGGAGTAACTAGGTAGCTCACACATAAAGTTGGTTCAACTGCAAAAACCTGGCGATTCTCGGTAGAGGATTCGATTATGTTTTCATAGGGAGGCGGTCAAGTTTTCGTTTCTGTGTGTTGTGTTTTGTTCATGAATGATTTTGCATTGATTTCTTGATATCTCAGCATTCCTCAAGACTTTGTTAACGTAAAGATGGCACAAATCACGGCCAGATCTGTAGCTTTTGCATCATCACCAAATAGCTCATTTATTGACGAAACAATTCTTGTACTATTAATTCTGGTTCACGAAAAACGGTCGCAACTCCTGATTTTTGAATGGGACACCCTTTATTCCGTGCCATATGATAGGTTAGGTTATCATATCTGGTGAAGTCCGAAGTGATTGAACAAAAATTGTCAATAAATCAGCAATTCGAAATACTTTGCGGTCGTTTTTTGTGAACTTCTATCAATAAATAATTATTCATCTGGATCCCTAGACGTTGAAATGGAAAAGTCTTTCTCGTTCAGGTTCAGGAAACCGACAGAATATGAATGGGACAAAAGATTATGATTTGTGTGACTATTGGAAATGAGTATTTCAATGTTGGTATTTCAAGATTTCCGTCTGAATTTGCACATTACATTTCCGAAGTAATCTACAGAGTCCCAGTTGAATCCAAATGCAATTTCACGAATCCCCAGAAGAAATCGCTACTGCGTTCATTCATCGATGAAAATGCATTTATCAAAAGATTCGATATACAAGACGAGTCATTCCAGTAGACTCCATTGAAAGAATTATAAATCTCAGAGATGAAACGAGGTAGAACCTCTGAATTTTGGAAAATAATTGTTCAGGAAATAAAGAAAGTCGTCAAAGTCATATAAATACAGATTTGTCTGGATGAATTCAAATGAAATGGAATTCATGTATATGGGAGTTATGTTATTGTTAGGTTTCAAGATTTATCTAATTTTGTCAAAATTTTCGATGTTTCTTGTGTTGCTTAGAGTTAATCTGTACCAACACATGATTTCAGTTGTGATATTATCTCCATCTACTCATCCATAACTTCCAATCCATCTTCGATAAAATGTTTTTTCCTGATTTTGACATATAATATTTATTGTGTTATCGTAAATCCTGTTGTCAAATGCGATATTCTTTCGTTTGATGAAAAATTGCAATTGACAAGCATAATAGTGTACGAACAGAATCCTCAATTTTTGAATTTATCAATCTGGTCAATTTGTAAATTCTTCTCGCTTCGTTCGTCCCGCAAAAAGTCCTATCTTTACACAAAACGAAACGTTACCAAACTGGTTACGTGAATATCTATTCGATGTTTTCATTTGATGCTATTAAATGCTACATATAATAGGTGAGGAAATCCGAAAGTTAACATGGATATTGATATGAGCTGCATCTCAATGAAAATCAACAGGAGTTGTACAGGGTGATTTTCTATATTTTATTCAATTGTTACACCGTGAAAAATCCAGTGATACAAGTATCCATTCAAGAAGATTCTTTAACTGCCAAATGAAACATTCAAAATGTTATCTGATGAACGTGAGAAGTCAACGTTTTCAACGTGGAACAGGTCTCCTCTTCAAATCACACTTCCTGTTTTGAACAGGTTACCTCATCGATTCGAAATGGAACAAGATTATGGTTGAAAGATGGAATTCAAAAGATAATCATTCAAATACTGAAATATGTCATTTCACAGTTGGACAAGTTCATTCGAGTTCCATTCCTTCTTCATTTACCATCTTTGTCATACTCGTTCACCACAATGAGTCATCTCACTCACTTATGAATACTTGTTTCATCAGAATCGTTAGTCGTCTACGGATACCTGATATGAAAGGACATATCAGCCCACAGCAGCCCGTGAACCCCTCTCACAGGGGAACATTTTATTTCCTGAAAAGTGAATGGGTTGAGAGTTCCTCTAGGAATTCAAGGGACACATTTGTTCATAGTCCCTCGAGTATAGGATTAGTTGAGGAGATACAGGAAATTGAACTGCATCAGGGCGTTATAGTGTTTTCACGATAAATCGGTAATGTATCGGAAAATCTCTCAATTAAGATGGAATTTTGCATTTTCAAACAACCTCACTATTCTTCATAGTGGCACAAGCTTGGATTTACACAGTTATATCGGTGATACAGTATGTCGAAGATGAGGATGTTCTCGCATGATGTTCTCGCATCCTCATCTTGAACACCGTGTTCATATGTATTTATTTGATTTGTTCGATTTTATTTGCTGCTTCAAAATTCACAAGAACTCTAGCCAACAAATCATCAGAAGAAATGAAGGTGATTCGTTTTTGTTCCGTGATTCGTGAACTCTTATTTACTGATGCCACTGGTACATTTTTGGCAACAATGTTAACTAATAATCCAAGGTAGCGACAAGACGAACAAATACTCCATATCGGAAGCATTTTCATCGTAGGCAAATTGAGATATTGTGATATTGTGTGCTGAGTATGTCCCCCTTGTGATGCACTTCGATGCCAAGTAGTTTCAATAAAAAACTCTGTTTGGGGTTAAGTATATATAATGAGTAGATATGTTGTCAATAATCTCAACGATCCTCAATCCACTTCATTTTTCTGAACAAAAATCAATCACCCTGATACAGAAATGCAAATCATTCGACTATCAAATTGAAAGCGAATTATATTGATATGAGTATTATTTCATTTTCATAATATCACAATTTTATATTAAAATGCTAATCATAGATATTTCTCTCGGGGTATCTCAGTTAATATTGATCTCTCAGAAAAGTTCAAATAGGCGAAAGTGAAGTATTCTTCATGGGCATACGGAATCTAGTACTAGAAAATACAAGGAAACATTGTAAACCGAAAAAAATTCCTTGAAGGAACACCCTGTATTACTTTTTTCTAAATGGTAGTTCTCTTTATGCTGATCTCAAATATATAAACCTAATCGAGATTATCTTTTGTCAGTTTTTGAAAATAATAGATTTTTTTGGTATATATCTAAGGCAGGTGTTGAAAGCTAGACGACGATGCTGAGATTTTTGGCGTTCAAGAGCTGAGTTCACAGTTTTATGAGCAACAATTTTGGAGTGTATCACATTACAATTCAATAAAGCGGATTCCTGGTTCTTCTGGAAATGCCAGAAACTTTGTTCTTTCGAATGAAACATTCAGTATTTTTCCATATATTCTAGTTCAACATATCGAAACAAGTGCAATCTTTATGTCAAATCTATTATTTTCGGGAAAAAAAAATCAAATTGTTTACTTCTATTCACCTCGTTGATAAATGAGATGTGGTCAAGGCTAGTCAAATAGAGTCGCTCTATATAACTAGAGAAATATAACTTCACAATAAGTTGACAAGATTCAGAAAAGTTGTTTTCTACAGATTACTCAGTTCAGAAATCATTCGAACATCGAGAAAATCATGAACTAGTTGATAATTTTTGGATGTATACATTTCTATACTGCACCTAAAGAAATGATGTGTAATTTTTTTCCTCAATGTAAGTTCCAGAAACTAAAGAGACCTGTAGGTAGCCCATAGGGTTTCCATTAAAAAAAAAAATTCTCGATAAAAATGTGACGTGACTGAATTTATTCATCGATATGTGATACAAAAGAATTTTGTTTTGAAAGTATTATGTTTCTCTGTTAAGTGCGATTCATTGTGAATAGCCTTGATCACATTTCATTTATTGACGAGGTGTAAGAAAAAACAATATCAGTATAAGTTTTCTCGTAAAAATCTTGATATGAATATTGCAGTTGTTGAACCTGTTGAACCACTTTTCACCTCCGAGCAGTTTCTGAGATATCTGCTTCGGCCCCTGCTACTTGAGAAATTATATCAGTTATCCCCAATTGTATATGTATATGAGTGAAGAACCGCCTCAATATATAATCCCTACCTAGATTACAGATTATTTCGGACTCGATAAAAATGAACTCTTCAGTATAGTATTAACTGGACCTCATCATATATTAGTGAATTCATGCCAGAGGAATATTAAATCAACCTAAACTTGTGGTCAATTTATTTCGACATTTATTATTGTGGAACGTGCTGAAATGGAAATGAGTAACTTTTCATTAGAGGTAGGTATAACGAGAACCATTAACTGAACCAATTTAACTTTTCATCAATTATTATTGAAGTCGAATATTAAAATAATATCAAATTTATATGCGTTTCACAGTTGCTAGAATTTTATCGGGAAGCATAAATCAAACTAATTTATGATGGTGTGAGCCGTTAATATTTCGCTTTTTCATTACACAAAGTGCTATTTTTCGATACATAAAACATGTGAATATTTTCTGAATAGGTATAGAACCATAAGTGATGAAAGTTGTTTAGCTCCATTGGAAACAAAATCGATTCTATAGTTCGTCGATTCTCACTTTTGTGTTATATCCAACAAGGATATTTCAGTATCGAAACGATCTAATAATTATAGATCTCAATTTGAAAGGTTCCAATGAAGTCAGTTGTGTAACGAAAACTCTCATTGGGAACACCTCATGTATTAATATGTATGTGGAAATCATTAGTTTTATATTCAGCATCATGTTGATGATATGACATTGGTAACCCAGAAAGTCAATATTCATCTCACAAATTATGTGAGTATAGATTATGGAAACATAAAGATATTTTATAATGGTCGGAGAACATATCGTCCATACCTTAGCAGGATATGGAGAGAGGTGGGTAATGGAATCTTGTGGTGACTCGCTCAGAACAAAAAAAAAAAAAACACAGAACAACTTTATTCGAAAAATCACCTTCATTTTCTGGTATAAGGTATTTCAACTGTCTGCCTACTGAAATTGAAACAATAACTTCACTCCACCTTCTCAAGAGAAGAGTCAAGACATGACTAGCCTCTGAGGGTTTTTATTCAACCGATGAATTCCTCAATTATAAATTCAAAAATATTTTCATTGTTTGTGATCTTGTGTTATATAATGTTCCCACTTCATTCCTTTCTTCAATTTTTTTTTCACATATTATCTACAAAAGTGAACGTTTCATATGTGTTATATATTGTATTTTGTATTAATACCTATATGAATTTTTATGACATATCCTATATCATTGTAGAGTGATCTATTTGGGATGAATAAAATATTGTATTGTATTGTATTGCATGTATTGAAAAAATATCAAATTCCATGGTATCATATCCATAACACCCTTTTTGTCTGATGAATATAAAACCAAAAGTTCTCTCGCCAACCTTATCCTTAATTCATGCCATAGTATTGATCCTGATCAGGATATTAAGATTCTACATGCCTGTCCAGAAGGTGGGTCATTGAGACAGAGAAAATAATCATTAGGAATATACCCCAAAAAGCCATCGACCGATGTCTTCCAGCTCTGAATTATTGAATTTACTGAAAATTATCGAAATTGACTCTTGAAGAATAATTATGTCTTGTCTCCTGATTTACAAACACATTTTGACTGTATTGAATTCTCCTATGCTTTGGATTCCAATCGCTGTTAGTTTACCTACCTGGGTATCATTTCTCATTCCGTGGTATATTCATAGATAATTGTTTATAGGTTTGCTCAGCTCTTTCCTACATGCATTCCTCCTCCTACCCCAACATTCTTCAATTAGTTTTATCAGCTATTGTTACATGCCTGTGCTCTTTGTCGGAATTTCTTGTTTCGTCCCTCGACCTTGACTTTGACTTATGCCAACGTCTTGGCTACGTCATTATTTGACATAATTTTCTGTGTTTTCAAATTGTTTCAGTTAAGCTTCAAACACGGGCCATTTTGGTATATAATATATTGATGAGATGAATTGTTTCAGCTCTCAGGGTACAAGGCCCTTCATTTATTAGGAACCTGGTTTTTCATTCATAATCTCGATTTTCCGGGCATTGACAACAGTTTCACAACTAATAGCATCACATTTTTCCACTTTCAAGTGAGTCAAAAACAGATTATGTAACTCTTTCACATCAATATTTTTGTATTGCAGAACTTCCAATTAGGCTGAAGATAGTCTTTTATAAAACCGAAACATGTTCCTTCTGATCGTGTGAGAATACCATCGAAATTTGTGGAGATTCATTACTTCCTTTGCAAAATTTCACTTCACTTTGAGCAATATGGACTTTTGAAAAGTAATTAATCAGCAATATTTGTAGTCTCAAAGGAATCTGTGATGGGCCCGATGAGTGTAACGCCAGCTGGACTTGAAGTCAATAAAAATTCCACATAACTGAAATACTCACAAATGGCAGTGGCTGATTGCCCGCCCGACCGGCGTAATTTCAACTTCGAAATAGCCACAATCCTTTTGGGGGCGTAATCCTTGCATATAAATATGCCAATGAAATTCCATTTAATATCGGTCCGGAAATGTTTTCCAAGATAGCTACGCTACTTTGGATAGGTCAGCTCAAAGAAGATCTTTGCTCCATAACTTCGAAACTTTCTACAAATAAACTTTGAAAATCAGAGAGTTGTTTTTTCTATGGTAATACAACTTGATTCTCAACAATTGACGTACGCAAATCAGAGTGACTTTTTTGTAAATGATACACTCTCCATTGAATTGAACTAAGAGGCCTTTCACAAGTGGAAAACTCTGGAATTTCATGATTCTGAAACAAAATCTGATTAACTCAGAGTTTAGAAGTAGAGGAAATGTTCTTACTCTCACCCTTTTCCGCATGTGACGTTCTTGAATGAAATCTCGAATTTCAATATCTGGTATTGTCGCAGGGATTCAAGAAGCTTTTATGAACAGGAAAGACATATACAGACCACGAAAGGTCCATATTTGGCCTTTCAAACAAAACTAATGAACAATCCGCACTTATGGAGAAATCGAAAATGTTTCTACTTGGACTCTGACAGAAATACATCTTTCGACCCCCGACTTGCCATCAAGGAATTCTATCCTAGGTTATACCAGCACTTATCACTAATATGTATCTATATAAGAGCTGCAGAGGTCAATTTTTTCATCTCGATTTCGCAAGCTCTTTCAAAGCTGCACATATATATATATAGCATTTATTTTCTCTGAACTCACTTGATGCATGGAACGTTGAATCAATATAGCAGTTGTATATTCTCATAACAAAACTCGAAAACAATGATAAACTGTAAAATATTTACCTTTTCTTCCGAAAAGTGACTGAGTGCACATCGCAGAAATGTTTAAATGCACTGTGGACTAAACAGCTCTCAAAATAAAATTCCGCAAATGAACTAAACATTCGTTTGAGATACATTCCACTCAATCAATGAGAATCCTTACCATACATGTACAGTTTTCGATTCAATGTTAAATTTCTTTGCAGATCTGAAGGACAAACACATAAAACAAGCACACGTAAGATCTCAGAAAGGTGAACAAATGCACGGCACCAACTCCAAAATCGTCCGCGCTCTGACATCCAGTCTCAGCGAAACCAACCAAGCGACACCTGGCGACCACAACCGTAACAACTACATCCTCGTACGCAATGGCAAAGCCAACGACACTGGTGCTTTCCTGCTACGCACGGATGCTCTGCCGAAGAACAACCTGATCGTAGAGGACTCCAACAATGGCAAAGTTGGTCAGATCATCATTCAGCAGAGCGAGATCAAGAAAGGGGTGTTCGTGCAATCGTTGAAACGTTTGAGCTCGCCCATTTTCCTGCTCAACGGCGGTGAAGCAGGAAACGGGCACATCATTATTCAGACAGCTCCTGCGAAGGAGGTCAGGAATTCAAGTGAAGTCGAAGACGTTGGTAATGATAACATTCTGGTGCAGACAGTTGATGGTATCCAGGAGGTCGAAACACCCGTAGCTAGAGGGTATGCCACGCCTATTGGATCAGGTATGTTACATAATAGTTATGATCCATTGTGTTGACATTTTTCATTTGTTGACAATGTGAAGAAAAAGATTAGTATAGAGGAAGATGAGGAACACTGCATTTTTTTAGGATCGACAATTTCTCTTGTACTCTGATAATAATTCCATTCCTGACCGATACAGATGAAATTCCGTTAATTTTTTTTACGGAATAAATAAATGTACCAATTCATTTCCTCATCGCCATATTGGAATCAGGTACCGTTGATTATACAGGGTGTTCCGTTGGGAAACGGAAATACTTCAACGGTGGGTAGAGGTGACCAAGGTGGTTCTGAATATACCATACATGGTTCATTGTCGAGATATAGGGTGTTTTATCAATTCTGGTCATTTCTTTGAAGGGTCATAGCATACGAACCACTTGGTATATTTGTTCGATATTTGGTAGACGTGTTTTCCCACTGCTACCCCAGCGACATGAGGCGATTACCATTTACTGAGACATGAAGAAAAATATAGTTTCAACCTTTTCTCCTCAATAAATACCAGTTTTCATCCATTGACCTCTTTATTTAATATTCATTTATGTTCCAACTTTATTCTGTTATCAATATCTCTTTTGTATCATTGCCTGAGTCCGTTGAATATATTTTCATCCTGGATATTTTTTCAACAGTAAGTTCCTGCAAAACATGATGTGAAGAAGTAGAATAGAATATGCACGGATTGAATACTAATCGAAATTCAGCATATTGCAATAATATGCTATACAACAAATCTCTCAACGAATAAAACTTGTAGATTTGCTTGGATTGTTTTGAGGTAATGGGCTTATATCACAAAAAAAATTTATTTCATAATTCGATAGAACTCCCCCAAACTAGCTCACCACCGCAAACCGTTTCTTGTTGTGAGCTCCCTACGTTCTATGAAAAATTATTGAAATCCCCGATTTTTCGGACCTCTGAAAACGAGGCGATAATGTGACGTCAAAACCCTAACACTGAAACAAGACTATTCCAGACAGAGATGAATGATACTTGATTTCTGTCAGAGTGAATTAGCGCGAGATCACGGTTGAAAGGATTAATACCTATATCAGTTGCCTCAGTGTCCGTCGGGCGTTTGGTTATTTCCCTTAACTATGGCGAGATGAGGTTTCTACGTCATAAGAGGGTCCGTTTTCAGAAGGTACTATTATTTATGCCCGAAAATAAAACATTCCAGTTAATTTTTCGATCGAATTATGTCGTCAATCGTTATTTATGTATAAAAGGATCATTATAAACATTGGTTGAGTTAAAAGTTCTACCAAGGTGTACACGCCCATTGAGTACTCGGACAAAATACTATGAAGGCATTCACTGTTTGGGTCGAACGTGATTCGCTATTCAAATGATGAAATTTTTTTCAGGAGTATCTGTAAACTTGTTTTCGCACGGATTATTTGTTGTGTCCAGCCTTTATCGCGTCCTGTCTCTACATGCTTCATTCCAGGTGATATGGAATTCATGCACTGAATATTTGTATTGGAGGGCCTGTGAAATAAGTGGTGCTAGAAGCACCAACATTTCTAATCCTGGCCTGTACCAGCAAATGTTCACATCTGGTGGTACATTTTTCCCAGTGTACAATTCACATTCACAAGATTCATCAGAAGGAAGTAAACCAGTTCTGTGAACTCTCGAATATAATTGAGATCGTGAATGAACTATACTATAAGTGATTTAATTAATGAAATCAGGATGTCAATTATCTCAAATTCAAATTCTATTCAAATCCCGTTTTGGAAGAGTTCGGAATGCGAACATTTATATACTTGAAGGTTATTTTTTGTTTTTGGGTTTCATTCGTGGATAATGCTGAGATGGTACATATAGTCTCATGGTATGAAGGTATTTCATGTACTGAATTTTGCATCAGTACACTGATACTGTTGGCACGAATGTCACTTGCTGACACTGTTAGACGTGGATATGATATTACTGTTTCTCTGTTTTTATGGCAATCGTAAATCAAAACTATTTTACAACGAGGAAGTACATCTCACAATGCCACATTTCTCAAATGCAACTTCTGTATGCTGATGAGTCATTCGGGTTTTGTTTTTCTGCACGAAACACTGAACTTCATGAGGCATAAATTTTGCGAGGAACATGATTTCCGATGTAATGAATATTCACATTTACATAATAAACTTGTTTTGCCAAAATCTTTTTTTTTTCAATAATGATAGTCAGTTCCATTCAATAGGATATACATATATTTACGTCAGATACGAGGAAAATATAGTATTCTGCTCAAATCCATTGGAATACTTTTATTGATAGTTGATGAAAACACTGCTGAAATAAAAACAGCAAAAACAATGCGATAACAGAGTAATAAAGTTCTCTTCCAGAATCACTATATATAAGTCGACACTTCTGATTTGGCCACTGCTCAACGTTATTGAAATCTTCTAGTTGCTCGAATTCTCTGTGTACAGTGTGGTCCGCTTCCGATGGTTTCGCGTGATATCCCCGTTATCTCTGCCACTTCTTTCTAAAATTGAAGATGGCATCATCAGATCTAGCATAACTGTTTTCATTTATGAGATACAGGGCGATATAGAAAATTTATATTCTTTGGACCACGTCTATATCTACGGAGTTTCTTAGCGGAAATGTCAAATTGAAATCTAATTCCATAAAGAAGTTCACGCAGAATCCAGTAATGCATACACTTTCTCTTTCGGTTTTGAATTGACTCAGCCGTTACTTGATGGAAATCCATGACAAATGTAAAAACTGCACAAACGGTAAGATTTCCACAAATTTTCTCAAACACACGACATGTTTCGCTAACACAGTAGCTTCGACAGGTGATATACTGGTACAATGAACTTTTTTGGGGTATGATTTTTAAGATACGACTCAAACTTATTATTTTTCAAATGAAACACCCTCTATTTCACAAGCTCATTGAATGCCTTATCATTCTTTCTTCAATTTATTCAAAAATGTTGGAAAATTACGAAGAAATTGAATTTTAATAGTGGGTCATGAATTTTTCACATAAAGAAAGTTCCAATTGTAGGAATAATTTCTTATCGTATCCGAAAAAAAAAAAATGAGTGCGCCACTGTGTTCTGCGTGAAATTCTCTATGGGATGGGATTTCAATTTGACTGTATCGCTGAGGAACTTCGTGGATATGGAATGGGGTCAAAAAGTATACATTTTCGAAATCGCCCATTATCTCATATATGTAAACAGTCATGCAGAATCTGATTTGACAATTATTGAGTTTCACGAAAAAGTGGCATGGGACTGCGAAAACCGCAAGGTTTTATCTCCAAAGACTACTGAGATATCACGCGAAAGCATCGAGAACTAGACACATACTGTGCAGTTTAATATCTTTCTATTTATTATTCGACTCTTGGAGTTTTGCGGAAATGTGTTCATGAGTGGTATGAGAAATCTATAGATCACCACTTTCAGTAGAGTCGCAAACAATCTACATCAGTCCTTTCCCAATGGTTCTGCTGGAGGATCAGATGGTTTGCGACCTCAACATCTGAAAGACATGACATCAAAATATCTCGGTGTGACTGCTGAGAAATTATGTGATCGCTCAGCATCTTTGGTGAATATTATGTTGAAAGACGATGTACCTCAGGATATATTTAATATTCTTTATGGTGCCAAGTTGATTGCTCTGAAGAAGAAAGATGGTGGTATTCGTCCTATAGCAGTTGGGAATACTTTGCGTAGACTTGCCGGGAAAGATGTGAGTAGCCGCGTTTACGAATCAATGGATGATTTATTATGACCTACACCAATGGGATATGACCCCGAAGGTGGTATTGAAGCTGCTGTTCACGCCACTCGTTCTTTTATTTTGATGGCGAAAAATACGCAAGTATTAATGAAGCTGGATTTCAAGAATGCCTTCCATTCTGTTAACCGAGAAAAGCTCCTTCAAAGTGTTCAAAAATATCTGCCACAATATTATAAATTTATTTGGAACTTATATCGTGACCCTACATCACTAAATTTTGGAGATTTTCCACTAAATTCTCATCGTGGAATTCAACAAGGCGACCCTCTAGGCCCTTTATTATTTTGTCTTGCAACAAAGGATTTAGTCAATTCAGTAAAATCTCCTCTCAACGTTTGGTATCTTGATGATACAACAATAGCTGGAAATGTCAATTCTGTTCGAGATGATTTTGGGAATATCCTTAGAATGAGCAAAGAAATTGGTTTGGAATTGAATATATCTAAATGTGAAGGCTCCATTTATGGTGGTGATGATTTGTCGAAGAAAAAAGTAGTCATGGCTGTTGACAATTTGCCCCTGGTATTAGATTCCCCACGCATGATTATCTGTCACTTCTCGGAGCTCCTTTATTACCAGAGGGAATCACAAATTCAATGAAATCAAAAATGTTATCAATAAAATTAATTTCAAGCCGTTTACCTCTACTCAGTTCACATCATGCTCTTTTCATCCTTGAAAATTGCCTGTGAGCTTCGAAAATTCTTCATTTGATGAGATGTTCTCAAACATGGACGAGAAAAAAAGAACTATCTGATCTCGATGACATCCTGCGTTCTTGTCTGGTATCCATCACCATTACTTATTTGGATGATCAAGCTTGGACTCAAGCAAGTTTTCCAGTGAATAAAGGTGGTCTCGGAATACGTCGTACAGAGGAACTAGCTCTCCCAGCCTATTTGGCTTCGGTTCACTCTGTTGCCGGTCTGGATACCAGTATTATTCCTGAGTTCGTGGTCGAGAATGAAGTTTCATCAGCAATTAGAGAGTGGTGCGGATTAACTGGGTTACCTTCACCTTCTACTTCAGTTCAAAAACTTTGGGATAGTCCACTAGTGAATAAATCTTGGGACAGAATCATATCTTCCGCCTCTGTCCGTGATAAAGCTAGACTTCAGGCAGTTTCATTGAAAGAGTCTGGATCATGGCTCAATGCATTCCCAATACCTAGCCTTGGTGATTTCCTCGATGACAACTGTCTGAGAATTTCTGTTGCATTACGTCTGGATGCAGCATTATGCTGTTCATATAAATGCATTTGCGGTACTGGAGTTGATGTATATGGTCATCATGGATTGAGCTGCAATAAGAGTTCAGGAAGATACATGCGTCATTCAGCAATCAACGATGTGATTAAACGAGCTCTCATCTCTGGAAACGTTCAAAGTATCCTAGAACCACCTGAATTGTGCCGTGATGATGGTGAACGACCTGATGGAATGTCATTGATACCTTGGAAGCGTGGAAAAGCACTGATTTTGGATGTCACCTGTGTAGATTTTTTAGCAGATTCCAATATAGTTTCATCTATCAAAGCTGCTGGAACCCCTGAATATGAGGCTGAGAAAATTAAGTGCGGAAAATATAAATGTTTGAAAGACAAGTTCATCTTCATACCATTGGGATTCGAAACTTTTGGACCTTGGGGACCTTCAGCCAAAGAAATGATTTCAACTATTGGTCATTTGATTTATGCTTGAAGCAGTGAAGCTAGATCTACTGAATGCCTTCGCCAAAGAATTTCAATTGAGATTCAGAGAGGCAATGCTGCTTGCATTCTCAATACTTCATCATCGAGCAAAGGTCTCGAAAAAATTTTCTATATACTGGGCGATGCATTTCCAATAAGAACACTGACTTGTGCAAGCAGATCTACACAAGAAAATTGATGTAAACTCGTTAAACCCATCTATGCTGTTGATCTTCCACACACGCCATGTTTCGTTGAGTTATATTCGAGTAACCTGTCAACCTTTTCAACACCATCTGGTCAACCATCTGAAAATCAAAATTCAACATCGATATATCTCCGATCCAGCGATAAAAATTGTGAATACTGGTTCAATGACTGTCCAATATCCTGGAAGAAATTTGGTCTTAACGGCTTGAGAAACACTGGGAACACGTGTTTCATGAACAGTATCATTCAGTGCATGTCTCACACTAAGTGACTGTTGGAGTATTTGATGATGGACTTATATAACAGATATATATATATATATATATATATTAGTATCCAAGATGGCGGGTGGAGCAGGCTTGCTATAGTCAGCTCCTAAAGAATGCGAAAATTTTATATGTGAACATTGTCAGAAAAAGGTTGTTACGAAAGTGAAGTGTTACAAATGTACAGAGGTTTTCCATCCAGCATGTTTAAAACAAGCAAGTGAACAAAAACATGCAGATTGTAAACATGAAATCGAACAAAGTATGAACGAAACCAACACTGTTGAAAAAACCTACCTCAAAGAACAAAACAAATTACTCCATCAAAGGATGGCAGACAAAAACATGATAATCGCAGACAAAGAGCAATTGATTCTCCTACTGCACGAGAAAATTGCATATTTGGAATCAAAGAGTTCGGCTAACAACTCAAATTTCACAAATTATGGAATGTCCAGCGATAGACGAACAAAAAGTGCGACCTCCAAAAAAAGCGAGACAACTGAAAAAACACAACAAAGAATCACTGGCTTATCAGATTCAGCCTCGAATGAAACGAACGAAGGAAATTCCAATATACAAGGTGGCTCAACTATAACTGTAAACCAAGTTTCAGCTGAAATAATGAAAATTCAAACTGAAGAAGAAGCTAGAAAATTAATAGAGCTGGAAAAGGAAGAGCCTACGGAATGTTCCACAGCTGAACTAGGAAAAAGACAGCAAGATACAGCCGAAGGTTATAGTCTAGTAAAAAAACGTCGGAAGCAAAAATCCCAGAACATAGGAAATGGTGACGGTGACGAGGATTTCCCAGCCAACGAAGAAACAAAGAAGATAATTTGGCTTTTCATATCAAAGGTTACTGATAAAATAACAGAACATAACATAAAAAACTATATTGAGAAGAAAACAAACTCCGATGACACCTATGTGAAGAAGCTTTCCAAGAAAATTATGAAAACTGACAACCAGTCATTCATGATTGGAGTCGATCTAATGTTAAAAGAACGTGTATATGAACAACATTTCTGGCCAAAAAATGTCCACTTTGCCCGTTTCGATTTCAGACAAGGTCGCCATTTCCTTGATCAACCACGTCCAGTGTCATCAGGAAGAGCAACCAGAACAGACAAGACAAATTTTCAGAGGCCTGCCTCGTTCGAGAGCCCCAGAAACACTTAATGTTGACAAAAGAGAATCTACAGCTGCTACACCTGAACGTTCAAAGTTTAGCTAACAAAATCAACATAGTTGAACTATCTTGCAAAACACATAACCCCACTTTCATCTAGTATCTCTGAACACTGGATGTGTAATGACAATCTGGTGTGCTCTAGGATAGATGGCTATGAATTGGTCTCCAGTTTCTGCAGAACCAAATCACAACATGGTGGCACCGCCATATTTGTCCAATCACAATTCTATAATAGCAACAATTGTGGAACCATCCCCTTCCTCAATGACCATTCACTTGAACTGCACTTTGAATGCTCTGCCTTAGAGGTGAACAGACAACTTTGCATTATCACTATTTATCGGAGTTCCTCAAAGGATTCCAACATACTTTTGTTTTTTGAACAATTAGAACTTGTATCAAACCATGCAGCAGGTAAATATAAAGATCTGATAGTATGTGGAGACCTGAACATAGATTTCCGAGGAGACTGTCAATACAGGAAACAACTCCTAGACCTATTTGATATGTTTGGCTCAGATCTTTCATATACAAAACCTACACGAGTAGCCAAATATGGCAATCGAATAGTTGCTAGTGGTCTCGACTATATTGTTAGCAACATAATGACCTCCTCCTGCAGGGTTACTGATCTGGGAATCTCTGATCACTCGGCCCAAGTAATGACATGGCCCAAAACAAAAGAGACCCCCAAAAATACCGAGTATACAATAATGCGAAAAATTCCCTAGCTGAATTCAAATTACTGTTGAGAAATATCAATCTATATGATCAACAAGAGGGAGATGTCAATGATTTATTTGACAACTTCCTTGTCCAGTTCCAGTGGTGTTTTGACACTGCTTTTCCAAAACAAAAAAGCAAGGTAAAATCACAAAGAGCAATTGATACAAGGAACATACCTCTACCGAGAGAACTACATGCTGAACTCAATGCACTCAAAGAATTGAACTGGCTCAGAAAAAATACCGGAGATCCTCAAATAAACGAAAATTACAAACAATCAAAAAAATCACTTGACCAAAAAATTACCAATCAGAAAAAAAACTACTATTCAAATATAATTAGGAATTCTAATAATAAAGCAAAATCCTTGTGGAGTCTGGTAAACAGTAAAACAAACCGAACAAAAAATAAACATGACATTACCCTAAATTATAACGGCGAACATATAAATCAGAATGGGGAGATAGCCAATATCTTTGGAGAATATTTTACAACATCTTTCGCAAACAAAATGAAATCACTTAACCTACCTCATAATATATGCACGAAAAATGAAATAAACAGCCCCAACTCTATGTATTTTTTACCTGTCACCGATTATGAAATCAAACATATTATTCTAAACTTGAAAAAAAAAATACTCTACTGGTATTGATGAGATCCCAGCTGTAATCCTGAAGAAGTGTGTTGACAACGTATCAGAATTTATGTCGATTCTAATTAACCAATCCGTAACACAAGGTCAATTCCCGGAAAAACTCAAAATAACAAAAACCATCCCGGTACTAAAAAAAGGAGATCCTCTTTGTATGGAAAACTACAGAATGATCTGTCTGCTAAGCTGTTTTTCAAAAATTATCGAAACTGCCGTATATAACCAACTAATCAAATTTTTAGATAAATATAACATAATGACAGATTGCCAGCATGGTTTCCGACCTAACCATTCAACTGAAACTGCCACTGCTGACTTAATTCAGTACGTCTATGACAACATCAACGAAAATAAGCTTGTTGTGGCAATATTCTTTGATCTTAGTCGTGCATTTGACACGATCAACTCGAAGTACGAATCAAACTCGAAGCAATGGGCATACGTGGTCCCATACAATGCTGGATTGAATCATACATGTCCGGTCGAACTATCAAGGTGCAGGTTGGGGATGAATGGTCAAATGAGTATGATATCAGGATTGGTACACCCCAGGGCGGAGTACTGGGGCCTCTCCTATTCACTCTCTATGTCAATGACCTGCCTAAACACATCGCTCAAGGACGTACTTTCATCTATGCGGATGATACCACAATTGTTGTTACTGCTAACAATAGGACAGAATTAAATCACAATATCAAGATTGTCACAGAAAATTTCAACTGTTGGTGTAGAGCAAACCATCTCATCAATAACATAAATAAGACAGTACTAATAGAATTCACTAGCCATTTCAATTTAATAGAAAATCTTACTCATGATATATGTGACACAAAGATCTCAGCATCACAACAAACAAAATTTCTAGGTTTGGATGTAGACCATAAACTATCTTTTAACAGTCATGTTGACACCATCTGTAAAAAACTGAACAAATTGTATTATGCATTCAACACCTTGAAATCAAACTTCCATAGAGATCATCTGATAAACATGTACTATGCTCTAGTGTATTCCATCTTGAGCAATAATATAATTGTATGGGGCAGGGCAACAGAAGCTTCTAGGGCATTCATTTCGCAAAAAAGATTCATAAGGCTATTGTTTGACCTAGACCATAGGGAGTTATATAAAGACACATTTATTGAAAGCGGCATTTTAACACTCACTTCAATTCATCTATACAAATTATTGCTATACACACACAATAATTTAGGAAAACTAGATAGAAACGGCGAATTTCATGAATACCCTACAAGAAGACGTGCCGATTTTCGTCTTCATCAAATCAAAAGAATGCAGCATAGAAAATTTCCTCTTTATGCTGGAGGCTATTTCTTCAACATGCTACCTCCAAACCTGAAATCATCGCAGGGTACCAACATTTTCAAAGCGCACCTAACGGAATATCTATTACACCATCCATTTTACTGTCTTGACGAATATGTCCAATTAAATAATTAATACTGTCATCTTTTTTATACTGCATAATCCTCATGTACATATATATACACATATCTTGTTAGTCCTAGTCCAAAACGTGTTTTTACTTTTTTACTTTTTTTTAAATATTATATTTCACCATTTTTATTGCCTATATTGCATATCTGTACTTACAACTAGTATTAGGACCTGTCTCATGTTATGTAAATAATCAAAAGAGATCAATAAAAGTATCTATCTATCTATCTATCTATCTATCAACACGAGCATATCCAGCACGAAAGGATATTTGATGAAGGCTCTCGCAGAAGTCATAAAAGAACCGTGGTCGGAAGATTCGACTGACCAAGGTGTCAATATGAACTCTTTGAAGTGCACAATCCAAAAATTTGCGCCGTGCTTCATCGGTGATGCACAGCAAGACGCACAAGGGTTCATGCGCTCTCTGCTCTTGGGTTTGCACGAGGATATCAATAAGGTCATCGAGAAGTCCGATCCTGAGTTCACAGATATCGAAAAAATTCTGGATGTCAACGAAAAGGCTTTGGAATCGTGGTCGAGATTCTTGAAAGTGGAGAATTCGAAGATAGTCAATAATTTCATTGGTCTGCTTAAGTCATCATTGAAATGCACGTATTGCGGCTATTCCTCAGTGACGTTTGATTCCTTTTGGGATTTGTCATTGCCAATACAATAGCGAACGCACCAACTAAGTTTGTTCCAGTGCTTGGACTCATTTACCAGAGAGGAGTCATTGGATGGCGAAGACAAGCCTACTTGCTCCAAATGCAAGGAAAGGCGAAAATGTACAAAGTCATTATCTATCCAGAAGGTTCCTGAAATTCTTGTCTTCCATCTGAAACGTTTCTCGCTGGACCTGTTCGTAGAAAAACTGAACGTCACAGTTGATTTCCCTTTAGAAAAACTGGAAATGAGCTATTACGCAGCCGATGGAAGTGTACCGTTCCACTACGATCTATATGCTATTTCAAACCATAGCGGTACCATCAACAGTGGTCACTATACGGCCTACTGCAAACATCCGTACTCGAACATCTGGCACGAATTTAACGATTGTCGTGTTTCTTCAATTTCATCAGATTCGATCATCAGTAACAAAGCGTATTTACTATTTTATCAAAAAAATACCCAAGTTGTAACAGCTACCACTTCCACAACCAATGGCTGCTCTTCGAGCACCAAACCAGATCAATTCTCAAATGCCACCCAGTCGCGAGACAATACCAAGTTTATCCTTGATGATTCCAGGAAAAGTTTTGCTTCGGATCTAGGTATCAACCAACCTAGTTCGAAAAATGGGCATGTGGGATCGTCAAAGTCAGTCTCATCTACTGAGCCAAAACCTAGAAGGAGAGGAAGGCCCAAAAAAAACCTTTCAAAGATGAACAAGAACTCTTGGTGAATAGGCCAGCACATCATGAATCAGGCAGGCCGAAACGCACCTGTGTTGGTCAATCTTCTCAGCATGAAATCTGAAGATTCACAAGAATCGAGGTCCTATAGTTGTCGAGGCACTTGTTAGCATGAACCTGGGACAGCTATTCATTTGGAACTTCTAATTCTTTTTTTTTAACTTCATGAAATGAAATATACATTAGTGTAACAATTTATTTTTCTCATTACATTTGGTGAGAGATGGAAAAAAAAATCTACATCATTCTGGTATGTTCCGGTAGATCAACGTGAACAGTAGAATCACTCTCGGGTAGGTACTCAAAGATTGGTCCTGAGATCGAAGCAAATTTTGGAACTTATCAATGCTCGATTCCATTTCGAATTTCTTCTCGGGGTTTTGATCCAGGAAGTGAATGAAATAACAGTGATAGTACTCACCTATTCATTGAAACGTTTCGCCCATGGAAATATAGGATCTTTTTTGTGATTGAGGGGTTGTAGTGAACCTATAAAATTTTGCAAAAAGATGGTGAACTGCGAACTAGATATTTTTATGTCACCTTACAAGGCACAGCAGCTTTTCGTCTAGTGAGCAATGGTAGTGAATTAGGACTGTCGAATGAGAAAGAGCGCCACTTGATTTGATATAAGAAAACCAAGAAATTTAAAATAATACAAGATCGATTTGGTTACCTGAAAGAGGAATCCGAGAAAAAACACTGAGTGAACTCAATATAATTCAATGAATGATCCCTGAAATATTCTGACAACACCTTTTTCACAATGGTGGAAAGTGACTGGTAGTATCCAGACTATAGCTTGAAAAATGGTATAGACTATAGTGGATTCAAATCACCTTAAACTCCCTAAATTTTCCCCTATAGTACTGAATTGGGATGTAGACTCATGGAAAATAGCATTATATTCAGATATTACTCAATTTTGAAGATAGCATCATCAGATTATCATCTCATATAGAAAACCAGTTATGAAATCAAGTAAGGGCAATAACTTCACCTAATGAAACCATGGCAATGCAATCTCAGGAGATTTCTTACTCAACCGTCTACAAGACGACCACCACCAAAGATGGACAGCTCAGAAAACAGACTATTGGCTAGTCTGCATGGAAATCAGCCTACTTCCTGAAGCTTCAGAGAACGGCCAATCAACTATCTGCCTGCTTCTGGCAGCTCCTAGTAGAGCCAACGGTGATTTGACGATGCCTGGAGAAGTTTTCAGTCCTAGAAAAGGTGATAATTTACCCAATGACGGAAGTTCAGCTCCCAACTCTGAGGTGATGAAGCAGGCACTGCTGGAGGCGGAACAGCTCCCAGGAGGACCGCAGACGGTCGCTAAGATAGTCTTGTAGACGAGTAGTTCTCAGGAAGCCCCTCTTGTGGGGCAGGCCTGGCAGACGTGACCACGTGAGACTCCCTTCAGGGCCCCTTCGCAATACTTCTCTAAGCTCGGTGTCCCAGATTACCCTCTCCTCGGGCGTCTTAGTCGAGATTAGTCGACATAGGGTTCTGAGAATTCCAGACTTGACATCCAACAACCGGCAACAATGCCGAGACTAAATGGCCTCGTGAGTGGTTTGAATTTGGTATCCCCAGGAGGCCAACAAATTCAATTAAATAGATCCTCAAATTACCGACAATCTCATCTACTCACTATTAACCCAATTCAGACCTCGCTAGTCATTTTCCAACTTACCCCTCGCAGAAAAAGCCTCACTTTTCTGAGAAATACTCAGCAAATGGTCCACTTCCATCTTGCAGCACACAAGTAGAAATGGCAAAGACGGAAACGTCGCCTGCGAATTTGGAAGGCGTATTTCCTATCGAAATTTCTGGACTTTTTCGTCCCCAACAACTATATAAAATAAAACACGGCTATATCACAGCGCAGCCCTAAATTGCTAATTTGACGCTGAGCGTCATACTCGTGACCTCTGTCAGGCACCGTGACTGGCTTAAAACGACAGAGACTTGGCGAAACCTCGATTTGGTCCGACCTTACCTGAAACCACAAATATAACAAAACACCAGAATGATGAACATGACAGACTTGAGGTAGTCTGCCGATGAGTGACTAACTCCAGTGAGGTGAACAGTAGGCCGGCTGCTGCTGGGCTATTGAACCTTTTATCCTCTCACTACACTGAGTGCTAGGTGGTCTGTGATGCGATGGCGAAGTGTTCTGTGCTGTGACCCATGACACTGTCATCCTTGCAGAAACTATGACAATCGCCCTGTCATAAACAAATTCAAATGACTGCAGAACGATAACAAAACAGTTCACAATCGTTTCATTTTCGAATATGACAGAAAGGATGATCTCCCTGATGATGAAACTAATATTCCTACCAAGAATGTCTGCATAGACTGCACTCGAGGTTTCAGAAGTCCTAGACCTGCACGTTCATTCCAGATAAAGCAAAGCCTACCAGTTTATTGAAAGATAGGATGAAGACGGAAATATAAACACTGCAGAACAGGTAAGTACCTTAGGAGATATGTTTCATTCTAATTTCAATGTTTACTTTCATTTCTAGATCTAATCCCCAATTATTGAAATTCGAGGAAGGGTAATTTTCACGTTGAAGGGTTCAATTTGTTTGGTATTGCTCCTTCTTCTCCTTCTTTTTCTTCTCCTTCATCTTTTCATTTTCTATTCAGAATCAGTATAATTATTGTGAAGTTTGAAATTATTCGAACGAAAAATTATCACAACGGACCTCACATCGTTTTCATTAAAATCCTGTCAACAGTGAAATGCTGTGAAAATCTAGGATCAGCTAGATTATATCATGCTGAACAGGACATGCCTTTTGGTCTAAGACCCGTTGTGAAGGTAAAGAAAAATAAGTTATGCTGGAACAATCATCATTTTTCTCAATAGCATGCGGAAAAGAGGAATATTGTATTTTTTACACGCTTGTAGAAACGTATACTGACATTTCCGCACGCCAAAGCTTGAAAGTATCACTTTCCGCACTTGTTATTTGAACTACTATCTTCATTCACATTGTGAATATCTAATAATGTGGCATTGAATCCGTTCAGATAAAATACACTGAGAAATCAAAAAACTCTCGAAAATGAATTAAAACCAGTGAAGGGGACTCCAATATCCAACAGAAATCAGATCTTTCATGGCAAACGATTTTCAAACTCCCACAAACATTCATAACCAATATGTACAAGCCGCTCCACAATTTCTTTTGTTCTCGTTGGGGTTTCTTTGTTTGGCTTCAAGAGCTCATAACTTTTAATCTATCTAATCTTACAATTTCACAACATTCCACCATAGACAAAATTTCAATATAAATGTTGCAGGGTCTTTTGATTGAGGAACGTAACTTGATATATTCATCACCTGAAATTCAAAAAATATAACAATAATTATTGCAGATAAACATGTTGAATGAATGTATTATAACCAACAAAGCACATGACTATGGGCTAAACGTTTTATTGAATACTTATTCACTACCTGAATCCAAATCCATTAAGATACTCACCAATGATATTCATATCCCAATACCTTCTTCCTTGACTCATTTTCCATAGGCACGCACGTTGAAATTCGAACATTATAAAGCTTCCCTTCCATGTGCTCCAGGAGATAAAAAAACATAAAATATGTGTCGTGTGTTTGGTAGAGTTCTGTGGTTTGTTGTGGTTTGCTGCTACACAATATCTAGGCGAATGCAAAAAGAATAATACTCATGGGTGAACTTCATCGAGAATGAATATTCAAGAAACTTATGGAATTCATCAAGAATTTTCGAGGTGAAAGATAATAGGTATACCAACCTATAATATATGAATAGAAACAACGCTGGAATGTGTTACTTCAAAGCGACGGTGATAAAAAAAATATCTGCACCATGTCATTCTCTTATTCCAGTATTGCATGTTCTTGAAATAATAATACAGTTGCAATTCATTCTTCCTAAAACACTATTTTATATTATCGTAATGAAGATAGTTGAATGAAGAATTCATAAATCATCCATTCAATAATTTCATTCACTTTCATGAGTATGTATTATCAGAAGGAAATATTTTTTTGAAGGGTTACGAGAGCACATATTCTTGAGTAGTTATTCCACTTCTACAACTGGAAACTGATTCGTCCTACAGAAATAGTTATTCGGCATCTAGTACTGATTGATTCTATCAGAAGATTTCATAGTTCCTAATCGAGACCGTGAGATGTCTCAATTGAATAAAATCACAAATTTCAATACAGAGATGCGAGCAAATTTCAAAA